ACCCTTGGGGAGTGGCGGAAGAATCTAACTCAGAGCACCTTATCCACCGCCCCCTACGAGGCGTCTGTCTTCCCGTTAAACCAAACCAACTCACACCTCTGAAAAGGTAGAGGACTTGCAGGTGTCAGGTGCATACCTTAATGCAGTGCTCTCCAACCTTTTTACACTCAAGATCACTTTTTAAATGACAGAACAAGCCAAGATCTATTGCCCCGCCCCTTCCTTGAAGCCCCCCTCCTTTCTGTTCTCTTCCTCTCCATCACTTGCTATCCACAATCCTTATACTGCTACTTTAAAAAAAATCCCACCATTCCCCCAATTCTTCTGTAGGAAGAGGTTTTTCCAACATTTGGCCTGTCTAGACTGGCCAAACCCCTTCTTTCGGAAGCCTCCTTATTCCTCCTGGGAAGAGGAATATAGGGGTGACTGAAAGTTCATGTTTGCTCTTTCACTAAAAGAAGCGGAAGAACAAACGCATCCCTGGATGCAGAAATGTTTTTCTGGGATATCTCTGGAATCCTGGAAAACTCCTGCAGTCTAGCCTTACCCTCGCTGTGTTGAGACAGGATGCGTAGGTTCTGGGGTGGGAATGAGGGATTTGGGTGTGGGAAGGGGTGAGAGGTGCAAGCTCTGGGAGGAAATCCGGATGCAGGAGGGGGTGGAGAAGGGGACGCTGGGTCAAAGAGGGGACACCAGCTCACACGGTGTTGGGGTCAGATGGAGGGTTGGGGTACTAAGCAAGCTACAGGCTTGTGGATGTGAGGGTTCAGGAATTTGGTTTGGGGTATATGAGGGGCTCAGGGCAGGGGGTTCCAGTGTATGATCGGCTCAGATCTGGGGTCTGGTGGAAGGGGGAGTGCAGGAGTGTTATGATGCTGTGGCCAAATGGGGGCTTGGCCCCAGTTGGGGGTTTGACAGTATTTTATTTAAAAATGAAGCCTGGCCAACAAACACAAAAACTTTCTGCGTTGTCTTTATTTCTGAGAAGGGCAGGGAACCTGTTTTGAGTCAGGGATGAAAAATAAAACCTTCTCAAACCCCCCCACAAGCCTCACTAATGTGGCCCCAACTGTGCTGGTGGGAGCAGGGGGCATGGTATTAGGGAAAGGTGCAAGGGGGCACTGGGATAGGGGACAGGGTGCTGGGGCAGGGTGCCAATGAGTGCTGGGGCAAGGGACAGAGGGCCAATGGGTTCCAGGGCAAATGCCTGGGGCAGAGGACAGGTTGTCTGTGGAGGCAAGGGTCAGGGTGCTGGGGTGGGGACAGGGTGCCAGTGGGAATAGGGGGCAGGGTGTCGGCTGGGACAGGGAATCCTCAGCGTGCACCTCACCCCCCACTCCAGAGGAGGGAAGCTCCGGCAAGAGCTTCCTCCCAGGACTCCTCCTCTCTCCCCCGCAAAGGAGGAAAGCCCTGGTGCATGTTTCCTTCTGAGATTCCTCTCTTCTACCCAGCATGCGCATGCCCTCAGGACTCCTGCGCGCCTCCCCTCTCCCCCCCAAGCCACAGCATGCACCTTCCTCTGGGACTCCTACCTCCTCCTGGTGCACCACAGACCTGGAGGAGTGGAGCAGGCATCATACTTACGGAAACCCCGGAAGTGGTGCACAGCTGCCGGACTTCCCTCCATCCCGCGGGAAGCCAGCACGATCTCCATTTTCAGAGGTAGGTAGTGGAGTTTCTTGGGGGTGAGGGGAAATGGGGGGGCCCCGAATGCCTTGTGATCGAGTGGTCAAGCCCTCCCGATCAACCAGTTGATCGTGATCGACAGGTGGGTGACCACAGCTTTAATGCCCTAGAAAGAAAAGCGCAGCAGCAAAATGTCCCAGAAAGGCATAATAATAAAGAAAAAGTTTCTACAAAAATTATTTATCTCATATTGAATTTTTCTTTTAACTAGACCATCCTGTTACTAGTAACCAGACTGTTACCATGCCAGCCATGGGAGAGGGGTGCTGCAGGTCAGAGGCAGCCCTGGGATCCTACCCTCCCCCCCAGCCCTGTGGATAGCTCCCTGAGCCCTGTCCCCCCTGCAGGTCACAGGGGGCTGCTGCAGCCTGGGGCCCGCCCCCCAGAACCTGGCACCTCCCCACACGTGA